TTTTGCTCCACCAATACAGCTTGAAAACATTCTTGTAACACTTTGGTGTCAATGCAAAGCATTTACCACTGCCCTGAAACAGGACGAAACCAGACGAATAGATACTTTGACAAAATTACCATTTGGTACACTAAATTATCTCAGAAGTGCTTGTAAATTTCCTTTGACGGTGGTTGTACAGTGCATTGGGAGTGCCCAACGTTAACCACGGCCGCACTGTTAGCTGCACCTTGTGTTGATAGCTCCTGGTAGACTTTCATCCAACATTGTCGTAAAGTTATAAGATAACTCAACTTACTAAGTTACCAGAGGTGTACTTAGACTCTTAGAGTTGTCTGACTGAAGGAGTTTCAGAGTGTTTTCGAGTGTTCCCGATCAGGCTCAAGTACACTTGTAAAATTTTTTTGTTAAACTTGTGGCTCTGTAATGTGATACTTTTGTTAATCTGTACGGGACTATGAAAGGCTGTCAATGATCGTTATTGTGAATCGCCTGTTTAATTGTGTAGCTAAATACGATTAAAACAGATAAAAATCGAATGATAATCCAATTCGCGGAGACAGCTACTTAATTTCATTTGTCTGCATTGCACTCCGAAATTGTAAGGCAACATTTGCTCAACTTTTATTTTCACAGCTTTACTTGCGATTAGTGTTGAAAGGAACTGGTTTCATATCACTGAATATGCTCACAATACCTGATGTTTCACTATAAAAGTCACCACCTGCTAACCAACATTTTCACCACCCCGGAACTGCACCTCACCACCCCGGAACTGCACCTCACCGATCAAAACTTCAGCACTTTAACGACCTTCACCACATTCCAGCGCTGCATTCCGAACACCCTCACCTCCTCTTCACCATGAAAAGTGGAGTGAGCAGCATCACTTACCATACCTTCACCCCATCTTCACCATCACCTCTCATCGCAGGTCTCCATTCTATTCAGCGTCCTCTCATTACGTCGTCAAGTGTGTCCAGGCAATCGAGCTTTTATATTTCTAGCGCATCATTTCTCGTTTCTACTCAGTATGTCGATTGACCGCTTGTCAACTTTCGTCGCACGGTCTGTTTAAGATTACTTAGAGTTATTTTGAAGTTCAGACGAGCGCTCAGCTCTTAACGGACTGGTTTTTAACGGACTGTTAACAACCACGTGTCATCTTGAACAACGTGTCACTTGTTTAAACTTTAACCACGTGTCACCTTGAAAATAACCACGTGTCACCTTGACAACAACCACGTGCTAGGTCACTGTGTGAGTAATAACCCATTTAGTCGGGTTACCAGTCGACGAACCAAATGCACTCAAATATGAGCTCCTCCAGTCCAGCTAATCGGATAACTCGAAGGACCACCCAGATCGGCCAGACCGTAGTAAGTAATTTTTTGATAATCTGTGGGTTTTTATTCTATTTTTGTAGAGATATTGGTTAAAAGGTTTATATTCCGTAAAATTTTTTTTTGGTTATTCGATCGTCTTTTAAAACCATAGTCTAGTTATCGGCGGTGTATCCGCTTTCCTTCAAATGTCAAAGATACTTTGGACTTGCGCTAAATTCATCGAACTGGTAATCAAAAATTTTAATTGGTAATGCTAAATGCTGTGATCATATTTGTTTGATCTGTAAAAGTATAAAGCTTGATTTCAATTTTTCGCCTTTAACTACATCGACTATAATAACTTCGCAGAGTTTTCAACCCTGATCATTGATCACAACTGACAAGGATCATAAGCTGAATCATTGACCGCGTACAATATTATAACGTTATGATTATAACTATATGAATGGTGTCCATTTAACTGCATAGATCTCGAGTCCAGTTGCAAGTAGCCTAAACAATAAATATCTTTATTTATCACCCAAATTGTTGAAGGACTAACCCAATACACTAAACGTGTAATATTGGTATAACCTCATCCTTCTTTAGGCAACATTTTACAGTTAACAAAATTAAACTCTTTATAAATTGTTGATCATTAACCCCGTCAGATAGTGACTGGTGAGGACCTGGACTCTGTAACAAACACCTGTTTAGCTCTGTCATAGAGAGAGACTGGTTAGATCCTGAGCTGGGGTGTTGTTACTCTCTGTGACACAGAGTAGCAACACCCCAGCTTAGGATCTACCCTACTAAGAGTAACAAACACCCCGATACTAGCCCGTCTTGGACCCCCACAAGTGATCGATCTCCATATATATCCATATGTAAATGTGGTGGTATAGCTAATAACCAGTTTCATTGTCAGGGTACTAGACAAATATTAACAATACGTAACCTGCTAAAATCTGTCATCAGTACCTTCCCCGGTGGTCATCAGTACCTTCCGAGGTCTTATGATCATTGGTGATCAGATCCTTCTCCTCAAACCATCTCCCTCTCTGGAATCCTGCTGTTGTTGACACTTGGTCATTATTCTATTTGATGGTACCAAGGTCAGGTTGCTTGGTAACTGGTCAGTAGTTGCCTGGTAACTGATCGGTAGTTGCCGGGTGACAGGGTTGATCTCCTAGCAACTCTTTGTTCTAAGAGTGATAATTGTTGGGGTCTCTTAATTGTCCGATACTTATAGCGATTAGTTGCTTAATCACAAAGTTCCCAGTCGATATACAGTGGTACAAGCTTGTGTGATCTAGTATTAGTAATAAAAGTACAGACTGTACTTGGATATTTTTATCATCCCCGGTGAATCGGTGAAGCCTGAAATTCTAACATTTGTTCTGCTGAATATTCTCCAAGGTCTGAATATACCCCCCGACCACTTTGACTTGGAACCCTCAATGAAAATACCAACCAGCTGCTGCTCCATTGTATAGATCATAGCTTGATAATACCCAATAAATACCTTATAACACAGACATACTCAATAATGATCCATCATAGACATATAATTGAGTATTAGACCCCATGACGTCACCAACCGATAACTCCCTGGCTGTTCACTCCCAAAGTTTGATTGATAATGATGATGTACCCACCAAAGGGTCACTTGTTGTTGAAGCTAGCAGTGGAATCAGAGCTATAGCCAGTCCCAAGGTGCTACAATCTCAGCAAGAGGTAGGCGTTTTTATAAGATGCAGTTAGGCGGATAAAGTTGTAACTTTATAAAGTTATAACTTTATCCGCATTAATGTTGGATTTATGTGTCTGGATACAAATGACCGTATAGTTCACATTTTCCGTTTGTATTTTGCCGCCCATATTGTTGCTGATAAGGAATGTAAAGTGTTACTTATATCGTTACAAAACAAGCTAGATAACAATATTTTGTGGTGCTTCCGGGAGTCGTAAAGAAACAAGCACCGCTTTTGCGTCGGCCGCTTTGTGATCGTTCCCTCCCAATATCCCAGTTTCCTTCGCACATATAGTTAGATACCTTGTTCATTAGGTAAGACACCAGGAATAACAACAAGGTATTTGACACGGAAGTTGGAAATTGTAGAGAGCTACCAATCCAGCAGTGATTACATGGGAGAGAGGAGAGTATTGACGACTTAGAGCGTAGTATTGCGGAGTGATAACTGCTAATCGAGCGTTATATAGCTCACCGTTCAGCATAATTGTGGCTCTGACTCTCTGAGTAGGATTTGAAGCCTCATTTGAGCATCAAACCCTCAACTCTGCTGTTTAATGTCAAGTAGTATCAATGCTGGGTTCAATTGTGTCGAATGGGTCAATTGCAGAATGCAGATCAAAGTAAAATAATCCGATTTTTTTGTGAGTGGCTTCCCAGTCTCACTAGTCGTTATTAGTTTAATAGTATTATTTATTACTGTGACCAACAAATGTATATCCCTGATAGATTTATTTACCAGAATTGTATTTTATAAGAATTGGACAAATAAAGTACTCAAGTATCCTTAAGTTATATTTCAAAAAAATTTGAAAGGAATAAAGTTTTCACTAAATATCATTTAATTGAAAGGATATATTAATTAAACTGAAATACTTACTAATCTCAAATGCTAATAAATTTAATTTAATGAAAATCAAATTTTGTCAGTATTTTGATTTAAATCGCATGTCCAATGCAACCATGTCAAAATTTATCCACCATCAATCAAAAAATGCATTTTTTGTGAACAGCCTGATATACAGAATAACGTGGAAGTGCTAACTGGAGACTACGTGTTGAAATAGAAGCCACAAAACAGAAGCAAAATAAGTGAAACAATCATCTCAATTGTCACTTACAGAGGGGGAAGTACTTGGTGGAGACTTGTAAAAACTGCAAGGTGTTATGGTCATCCCTTCACGGACCATACCTGTGTCTGCAATCGTGAAGGGACGGTGAAATTGTGTCATGATTGTTGTCTCTAATCCTGTAGAGGATTGGAGGTGTCATGGAATTGCAGACTTGTAGATTCTACTGCAGCAGCTAACGTTGCTAATTTTTGTTGGATAGTGGGAAATAAATACTTTCTTTAATCGCCCGGAGATAAAACCAACGGTTTACTTTTTGTTTCATACTACACAAGAAAACCATTAAATCCACAATTTTGGATACTGTTAACGCAGGTCCGTAGAAAAGTGTTACAGATCTATCAGAGCGAAAGTAAGAAACCTTAGTATTATATTATAGTTCGATCTGATGATACTAATTGTAGTGATCATCATGTGCCAAAACTGAGCAAGGACTTCATATATAACGTATCGTATGGTTTGTGTTTTCCATCACTTGGTTGGATGCGACTTTCTTTTTTTAACTTTTTCTTTGAAGAGAGGTTGGGCCTGGATGGCGACTTTATTCAAACTTTAAACGTGAGAAATAGTGTTGATAATTCTTTTAGCCTCTGAATAAATTGTTGATTATCTATGAGTGTAAGTCAAATTCTAGTCGAGGTAAAACTAAATATCAAACTTAGTATGACATACTTACGCTGCATACTTAATAACCTGGAGTATGGCGAAAAATAAAGAATTCGTGTCTGTCAATTAAATATATACATGACGTAAACTTTACTGAACAAGTTGATAACACGCATTTTATTTCAGATAATGACGAGGATACGGCTCAAATGGAATACCGTGAGTACATTATTTAAGTTATTTGAGTCGATGTTGTTAATTTAGACTTGGGCGTTGTTTATAACTATTGTTTAAAACTTTTATTTAATAATAATAAGTAGGTTTTGTTACTTAACCTCTTATTGTATTTGAGGGATGTTATATGCGGGGCGGGGGTGGAGGTGAGGATTTGGATCCCAGCGAAGCCTTGGGCAATTCAAAATGGCGTCCTATTATAATGATACTAATGTAATACTAATAGTAATTTGTATTACTAATGTAGTACAAATTACATGATGCAACTCCATTAATACTCAAAAGTTATATTTGATCATCAACTGCATTAATTTGTATCCAATTAAATTTGATTATGTTATTTGGCCGTGTTGTGTAAATAGTGTTTACCTTAACTATATATTTACTCATTTTTGAGGACATGATTTCTTGTACGATGTTCTAAGTTCACAAAAATGCCTGAATTATTAATGGATATAACTTCAAGCATAAATCGCATTGGCCAAGCAATTTTTATAAGTTAATAATAATAATAATAATAGGATTATGGCCACATGGCCATCTCGACAAAACTTGAAACCCAACTGCACTCTACGCTATTGCAGTTCGCACAATATTATCAAAAAGAAAAATGTTCCTATCCGGAACATTTAATGATTAATTATTTTTAGGACGTTAACATGTAGTTCTGAATTTAACAGTCAAGAAACATTGATTCCTCGGTATTTAGCGATCAATGGGTTATTAGACATGAAATGTGCATATGAATCATGCTCACATGTATTTATTTTTGACATCAAGGTTTCGCTGAGATCCCAGAAGTGACCCTTTGACGATGCTCCACTCGCTATCAGTTCATTTTTATAACATTGAAGTCGAGCTTTGAATGCGTCTACTGAACTGGCTTCTTTAACCGAACTTGGTACTTTGTTCCAGTAATTGGCAACACGGTTACTGAGGACCTGATTTCCTCTTTTATCTTTTAGGATCTTGGTACCGCTACGTGATATCCTGAAAAGATCTTGTCCATAGTCCACTTTACCCGTCGTTATTTTAAAGGTTTCAATAAGATCACCCCTCATACGGCGCTCCAGTAGTGTTGTTAACTGGAGGATTCTCAGTCTCTCATCGTATGGTAGGATACCAATCCCGTCGATTATTCGTGTAAATTCTCTCTGAACGTCTTCTATCTTCTTAATAGTCCTCCAGTTTCCGTGCTCTGCTGGTAGATTCCACACTTGCACAGCGTATTCGATGTGAGGTCGAACTAGAGTTCTGTAAACATTTAGCATAACAAATTTGTTACGGCAGATCAAACTTCGTTTGATCCAGCCTATAACAGACTTTGCTTTTTTCACGGACTTATCTATATGATCACTCCAGTCCAAGTTTCTGGTAGTTAGAACTCCAAGATCCTTTTCTGCCTTCACTTGGGGGAGTTCCAACAAAATATAGACCAACTATACTTCCTTACTTCAAAGTGAACGAATTCAAATTTCTCTACGCTGTATTTTTAACGATTAAACTGATAGCTCCCTCCCGGACCAGTTTAAGTTCTTTGGAACTAAAAGATATGCTTACATGATCTGGCATCTAAATGAGTAAGTAGTCTGACATTTAAAATTATGCTGGTTAATAACTTAATGCGAGCCAAATAATGGTACTTCTAAGCGTTTATAAGCGTTTATAAGCGTTTATAACAGAACAAAAACCAATTCCAACTTAATCCGAGGTTAACCTGGACGTGCGCACTTGTCCGGAACGTGCTTTTTATACAACCCCTGGAACTCACTGTTAGAATTATCACCTGTTACCAGTAACCATTGTGACCCACAAATGTGACCCTTAAAGTATCTACAACCGAGTAGCGGTGAATTAACGACCAATTAGCGGTGAATTAACGACCAATTAGCGGGTAATCAGCGAGGCAGGCTGGTTGTTACTTGTGTTGCCAGCCGCCCGTCCTGCCTCACGCGCACACTGAACCCATAGTACTGTGCGGATATATGTACGTATTATAAATAGGTAAACCGTTTAGCGGCTACTGGATCTCATCCGCTGGGGGTGAAGACAGGATTCTTAAGTTAGTCCTGATTTTGTGTCACGCACCATTAAGTCCTGCTTGTGTGTTCACCAGCTGTGCTTGTTTGTACCATAATTTGATTGAGGCAATTTGTTACGGTTCCAAGTTTCAGTCATAGGGCGTTTTGTATGTTGTGGCAGATACATTACGTTATGTGATATAAATTACGTTATGGTTTTGTGCTGCTTAGATTTTAGTTTGACGCTTGCTTTTTGAGTTTAGTTGTCATGCTGGATGGGTGATGCAACATGTTTTGATACGTTTCTGAAAATGTTTGTTCCTGCTTTAAACTGATTTGCTAATCTTTTATTCACGTGCTATGAAGATGTTAATTGTTGCCGAGTATCATGTCAGGTATAAAATGTCAAGTATCTTACATGTTTGGTTAGCTGGGCCACTGCGTCTAACTCGAATCTAAAAACAACTTCATAACTGTACTTGTAGATTAAAAAAGTGTTTTTATTGTTTGGCTGATATAATAATGCTGTGCGAATTACAGTAAAACCATGCAGGCAAACAACAAATGACCTGGTCATAAACAATTGAAAATGTAATTTCAAAGAATTTGGTTATGTTGATAAGCAATACAATTATAGTATACAATATATATCATATATATAATACACATACACTTTACGATATGCTATCTATTGTTGCTATTTTAGCTATGATAATTTAATTTAATGATCTACATCATTGCAGAATTTGCAGGCCAAAATGAACACAACTATGTCGATGTTATTTGGATAATCTGTGTATCTATCGATTTTAATGCGATGAAAATATATTTATACTTTTTAAGTAATCTGCAAATTTGTTTGAACTGGTCGCGAGGGCGGAAGTCGCGAGAGCGGAGGTCTCGAGGACTGTATAATTTATAAATTATAAGTAAGTTGTGTGATGTTGCAAGTTTTGTAGTATTACTAGTCCAACATTAAGGAAATGTGATCATTTTAGGAAACTTCCGCCCTTGTGTCATGTGATCGACCTCCGCCAACTCGCGACCTCCGCCCTCGAGTCCAACCTTTTAGGAAACGTCCGCCCTTGAGTTTTACGCCCTTGGGTCTTCCATCCTCAAGACCTCCGCCTATACCCGTTTGAACTCTTGCAGAGTGGTTTTAATTATGACGCCTTCAAGAGATGATAACTTTTTCAAAGTTTATACATCACCTTACTTGGGCAGTTTGCCCTCTGATGTTTATAAATATAATTAAGGTCGTTCATATCTTTGGCAGCCAACTATTTGAACTATTCATTGTTTGCAATCCTCATGGTGGGTAGATCAAAGTAACTGTTCAACTAATACTATGTAAATATTAAATTCAACTATTTAACTTTTTGATTCAACGTAATGATGGTGAGTCATTTATCGACAGATATATTAAAGAGTCTATCTGAATTCTGAGCCTCTTTATCTCTATGACTCTATCGGTATCTTTTATTGCTGAATGATCTAAAACGTTGCCTTTGATTTTTCGTTAATTCAGCTGACATTTCCAACTTCCAAGACAACAAAATTTTATGGAATGGAATTTTTGGCTTTCAGTCGTTGTATAGCATATTAAATCAGCACGAAAAATGCAACGAATAAGCTTCAAGATCATGCAATTGAAAATTTGTGTCAATGATTTACTTACTTTATGTAAATCACTGTTTTTCGACCAAAAATAACTTTTTGAGGCTTTTTTGCATACCGGTCTCTATTTATCTTCACAAGAAAATCTGATTCAAGCTTAAAATATATGTTCGAAATTCGATATAATTAGTTCATTATGATTATGGCAGTTCCACGTAGTAATAGTATTCATTGAGTAATGGCTCACTAATTGCTGACATATAATTTCTAATGGAGTCATGTTTCTGCAGCATTAAACAGCGATAATTCACTCATCATCCAGGAGAATAATAGTGATAATTCACTGGTTACGTTGTAGAAGACGTACGGTTTCACGGAATCGGAATTTCATCCCACAGTTTCTCCTTTGTATGATAATTTCCAAACTCTAATATGTTATTTTGATTTACGTAGTGTTCAATAAGGAGTTTCAGCTACATTTTTTTAATTCCTTTCATCGTCTCTACAGTGTGATTTTTAAAGCTTCAAATGATAGACAGGGTAAAACAATTTTCACAAATCAACGGAAAACAAAAAATAAGCATAAAAGGAAACTTTCAACACAGCTTCGCTTCGTAAAAACCTGAACAATCCCAACCAACAATATTAAAAGCAAACCTGTTCCCCTAGCAACCAATCAATTAAACTATTAAAGATCAAAATTATTCACCATCTTTATTGATTCCTCCCATTGCGTCAGCCGGTATATCATGGTCTCTAAGTAGCAATGCACCGTGTTAGAAGCGTCAGCACTGCAATTAAGCGAAGGAATCGTGCTTGGAGCCGTTGTATTTATTTTCATTAGACGTTATACTTCTCCTCTGAGCGGCTGAGCCGGTAATAATGGTCACAATATAATAAGCTTTGTTGTATTTTTATTTCAACGTGATAGTTAAGTTATATGTGTTATATGTTTGGTTTTGTTGCTGCGCCTCACCTTTTTTTTTAATATCATGAAGTTTTTAAGGAATAATTTTAAAACTAAATAGTATTGACATTTATTGGCAGAAAAATGAATTATGTCTAATTCTATTGATTGCCATTCTTCATGAATAACTAATAACTGTTTTGACTTTTGTTTCGTCTGCACCCTTTCTTTTGAAAATATTTGAAATAGTTTTTCCAAATTAATTTTCTGATGATGAAGCCAAATTCTGAAATTGGAAAACTTTTGATGACCGTACCGTAAGTATATCGCAATTAACAATTTGATCATAGCATAATTAAATTTAACATAATAATTGCATAAACGAGTGATTATTAAAGTAATTATAACCTCCTCCTGATTAAATCCTGTTTAAAAGTTTA